AAACATACCATATTTTTGATCGTACCCATATATACATTTTCTTATGGTATCTATTTTTTGCCTTTTTGTGTGTATGTCTTTTTGAGACAGGGTTTCACTATGTAGTTCATTTTGTAGCCCAGGCTGGCCTCAAACTTGCAGTGATCTTCCTGCCTCAGCCTCCCAATTGCTGGGATTACAGGTGTGCACCACCATACCTGGCTCCCAGCGTTCATTTTCATCTTGAAAAATGGAAGCTCTGGGTCCATTCAACAGTGATTCCCATTCCCTTTTCTCCTGACATTAGCACTTGGTCACCTTCTGTCTCTGAATTTGGTTGCTCTAGGTATCTCATATAACTGGAATCATACATTTGTCCTTTTGTGAACTGGCTTTTTTTACTTAGCATAATGTTGGGGAGAAGGACATTCTTTTTCTTTTGTTCTGTTTTTTTTTTCCTGGTACCGGGAGGGAATCGAACTCATGACCTTGCACTTGCTGGACAGGCGCTGTGCCACTGAGCTAAATCTCCAGCCCCGAGAAGGACATTCTTTAATTACTATTTTGTGTATTGCCTGAGGCCTGACCAAGCCATGATTGTTGGATTCTGGAGGAAGTCTAGCACAAGCATTGCAAGCCCCCAATCAATACTAGGAGATAAGGGTGAAGGCAGATAACATGATGGCTTACTGGTCAGGTCGCATTCCTATGATAATGGAGTTGTATCGTCCTTGCTAAAAGACTTGATATTCTCGGATTCCTCTGCTGCCTCCTTGGTGGGTTCTGAATAAAAGGTTACTGAGGATGGTAATCAGGGGTCAGTCAGTCCTAGAGGCTGCTAGCACCTGATCACAGAATTTAGACTCTCTTGGTTTGATTTCTTCTTACTTTTCTTTTCTTTTCTTTTCTTTTCTTTTCTTTTCTTTTCTTTTCTTTTCTTTTTCTTCTTACTTTTCTTATACATCTGCGGGCACCTAGTTCGGGGGATCTGTTCACCCTGGACAGAGTTGGATGAGAAGTCTGACGTAATGTATTCAAGGTCCACCCATGCTGTGGCAGGTGTCAGAATCCCTGTCCTTTTCAAGGCTGAATAATAGTTTATCATATATATACACCATGACATTTTGCTCATTCATTGGTCCTTGAACATGGGGTTGCTTCCATCTTTCAGCTATTTCCAATAATGCTGCTACACACATAGGTGTGCAAACCTGTCTTTCAATTCTCTTTGGTTTATTTTCAGAAGTGGAATTGCTCGCCCAGTCTTTGGGATGTGTGGCTGGTTGAACAGTGACCCTCCATGTCCTCACCTCTAGAGCTCTGAGTGTGACTTATTCGGAAAAAGGTGCACGTGGGCTCTAAATCTAAAGACAAAGGTCCTTGTGAGAGATTCACAGGTGGAAGAGAGCCATGTGGTGACAGAGGATGAGACTAGAGTGATCCAGTCAAAGGCAGGGAAGTGAAAAATCCACTGATGGAGGAAGAGGAAGGCAAGGGGTCCCCCCTAGAGTCCTGCAGGAGGGGCGTGGTGAGTGACACCTGGATTTCAGACTTCTGGCCCCCAGAACTGTGAGAGAATGGACTTCTGTTGTTCTGAGTCACTAAGTGTGTGGTGAGGTGTCATGGCAGCCCTAGGACACAAGCAGCACCCCAGGGGTGGTGGGGAGGGCCTTTTTTATGGGCTTTTACTTCATTACCCTGCACTTCTTGGTGCTGAGCAGAGCAAGATTTAAAAAGAAAGGAAGCAGCACTTCTTTTTTTTTTTTTTTTTGAGACAGGGTCTCACTGTGCAGTTCAGGCTGGTCTTGAGCTCACTTTGTAGCCCAGGCCGGTCTCGAACTTGTAACGATCCTCCTGCCTCAGCCTCCCGAGTGCTAGGATTACAGGCGTGCACCATCACGCCCGGCTAAAGCAGCACATTTCTGAGAGGCTGTGGCCGTGGACCAGACTTCCTGTGGATTTCTAGCTGGGTACTCAGCTAGGGGGCAGGGGCCTCAGGGCTTAAGTTTAGTTTGAAACATTCCTGACTGGTAACCCAGTGCTCTGCCCGGAGAAACACAGATACGTAGGTCAAATGCAAGCGCAAGTGCAAGTTTGCAGCCACGCCTCCAGGACAGGGTCTTCTCTGCCTACCTTCTTCTTGGGTTCTGGCTTCCCATGGACTTTGGCCTGGGAAGTCCTGGC